TATTAGGATGAAATGAAACAAAGAGTGTATTACAACCAGCTCATTTCCTGGCTCACAATAACTTGCCAATACGGGTTGTTTCTTTACCATCTCCCATTTACTGTACCCTCATGACACATGTATTAGAATCCCACCAATCTGGAAGCTTTCTTCTGGTGTGGCCTGCCCTCAGCCCATTTTTAGATCAACCAATGGAATTATGACTGGCTGGAACTGTTTTTCATCCAATTGGTCTCTTTCCAGCAGTTTTATGTAGCCTCTTGCTGTAAATCACTCTGGGAAAATAAATGTCCCTAATCCATTAGTGCCCTTCTACTGCAAGCCAATTTGAGCCACAAACCAGAGAGGGTTTGTTAATGGCCACTTAAATACATTCCTGCAGCCCAACCTGGAGACCCTCTGCCAGCCTAAAATCCTAGCAGCCCCTGTCCAAGAGACACTCGACTGTGACAAGACTGATGTCAGCATGGCACAATTCTGACTTGTATCTGTTAGGGGCAAACCACGCACCTTAAGACAGTCCCAGTTTATGATTGTAGCTTTGCCTGTCTAGGAGTAATTCTAAATAGTGCCCTGTTTGCTTTCAGATGAGGTCCAGTTTGTTTGAGACCAGCCTGAGCAACATAGTGAGACTCTGTCTCTATAAAAAAATGCATTAAAAAAATTCACTGGGCATCGTGGCACATGCTTGTGGTTCCACCTACCCAGGAAGCCAAGACAGTGGAGGATTACTTGGGCCAGGGAGATCAAGGTGGAGTGAATCATGATCACACCACTGCGCTTCAGCATGGGTGACAGAGCAAGACCCTGTCTCAAAATATAAGAGTTCCAGTTTGAATAATAAACTATTAAAAAGTATCTATGGCAACCATAAGTAAAAGTTTAGATAATAATGGTTATCATTTTTTGACTACTTGCTATGCCTGTCTCAAAATATCAGAGTTCCAGTTTGAATAATAAACTATATAAATTATCTATGGCAACCAAAAGTAAAAGTTTAGATAATAACAGTTATCATTTTTTGACTACTTGCTATGCACCAGGCATCCTTATAAAGGTCTTTGTATATGGCTTGTCATTTAAACTTCATTACAATACTATGAAGGGGGATGCTATTATTATCTCCATTTTATAGTCCAGGAAACAGAAGTTTGTTAACATGTTCTTAAGAACAACATGGCCAAGGCCAACTAGAAGGCACTGTTTGTACCTCACTCAGTTCCCATCTGTGGGTAGTGTGCCCATCCCCAAACTGCTGGCAGTGTTGGCTGCTCAAGGCTTAGAGCCGTCCTCTTCCCTAGGGAATTTTGCTCAGTCAGATGGAAGCCAATTCTGCTTGAGAGGCTCCATGTCCCCACTCAGAAAGCAGCCCACAGCCAATGACACACAAGCTTCCCTCTGTTCCTTGCTTTAAGGTGGAACTGGCTGCAGTGAGATCTAGCTAAGACCACATCCTTGCTTAGCTCCTTCCTCTGCTCTAGCCTGCTTCCCTTGCTCCCATAATCCTAGAAGCATGCTTTCAATAAGCCACCGGAGACCTAAGACATCCAGTTTGCAAGTAGCAGAGCTGGAACTCATATCTAGGAAGCACTCTTAATCACTAAGTGGATATGACATGATATTGCCTATACATGATTAAAATGATGGCCTCCAAGCTGTCAGGTCACCAAGCAGCATATACCACACTGGTCTAGATATGGCAACAACGGTAGTCACAAAGAATACTACTTATCAAATGCTGACAGCAGGCCAGTCTCTTTATTGCATGTGATTCTCTCAACAACACCATGAGGTTCATCTTATTATCCCCACTTTCAGATAATGTATGGGAAGTTTAGAGACATTGAGACACGTCCCCCAATGTTACATGGATAGGAAGAGGGGAGGCTTAAGCTTATATCCAAGTCCATGTTTCTTCAGAGGCCACATGCTTTTTCCGTCTGATCACTTAAGTCTCTTGTGGCATAAAGCATTCAATGAATAATTGGTGAAATTGATCTGCCGTCAAAACTGACATTCCAGAAAAAATTTACACAGAAGACTCTGCTATCCCTCCAATCTTGGCCCCAGCAACAGTTCTTTTTGAGCTGCATTTGACCAAAACGTCTCTACATTCTGGAGAAAGCCATACTACGTTGGGAATAGCCAGAGAATGTTCTCTTAAGCCAGACATAAAAAGAGCAAAGGAACCATCTTTGTTGGAGAAAGGAAAGAAAGTGAGACTACATGCTAAAGGAAGAATCACATTTCTTATGGTTTTTCCACCGAACGAGCCAAAATGGAATAAAAGGAAAACAGCAAAGATTTAAGGAGAAGAGGAGTCAAAACCTAACTCTACTATTGTGTGATGTTTTTGGCAAATAACTCAATGTTTCCAAGCCTCAATTTGCTCTTCTGTTCTATAGGAAACATACCCATCTCATTGGCCCATGAATGAAAGCGGGTAAATGATATAAAATAGATATTTCTTTGTGCCTCATCTCTTCCATTTTCATAAAATTTATAGCCAGCTGGGACCATCATTCCAGGTTTAACTAATACTGGTTCAAGTGGACGATGCTTTATTCTAAGCAAAAAGCATACCCTATTATGACAAAAAGGTTTCTATTAAAAATAGAGAGCAGATAAAAGGGAGACCTTCATCCAGGAAGCCATCAGCTGATTCATAAAAATACAGAATGAGTCATCCTGGTTCCCAAGGCTAAAACTTATAATCAATGGGCATGTCTGACCAGCCAATCCCAGCCCAGGGGAGAAGGAGCTGCCCAGTGGGCCATCTTTACAAGCCTATTCCAATCCTTCCTTGTAAAACCATTAACTCGGCTTCCAGCTTGGTGAAAAGAAAATCAATCTGGGCTATTTGCAACACTGTATTGCAAATGTACCCGCAGCCTGGTTGGCTTTTTGAACAACTGCGGTGGGGGAAGTGCAATGATTCCTCTGTGTGTGTGTGTGTGTGTGTGTGTGTGTGTGTGTGTATGTGTTCAGCTCCACTGAAGAACAGGCGTGTGCATCTGGCTTTGAAAATCAATCTCTTGGCCTTCATCCTGACATTTATTATTTCAAAATGCTTCAGTTCCTATCAGCAATTATGCCATTAGCATAAGACTGGAAAACACAAACCCATATGTACTGCAGATGATGCTCTTTCCTTTAAAAAGTAGTTTTATCATTTTCACTCTCTAAATATATACTCTAACACAGAATCCTAGATGCCAATCCTCAATTCGGATGAAGAGTCATAAATTACATACACATACATAAGTAACCGTATGTATATACGTGTATATACATCTATATGTATAAGTGTGTGTATACAGATAATATTTTTTTATGAGGTGGTTAAGGAAGGAGAATTCTAAATACATGGTTTTAATTTTCCTAAGCAAAAGCTCTTCCACTATCAAGTGAAGAAAAATAATGACCCAACAATCCCCCTCCAGGCTCTTTCCTCAATCCATGCATTCGGTGATAACTTATTTAGGATATGAGTGCGCCAAACAGCGTGCTAGGCATTGTAGGGTAGGGGAGTGGGTTAGGCTTTGGAGATTTAACTGTGAAAGGGCAGTATAAGCTCTCCTTCTGGGATCAAACAACTTGGTTCAATAAGAGTTCATTGTATAGGATCCTCCGGTTTGCAAAAGCCTCTTCCCTTACCCTGAATTCCCCACAGAGGCCCACAGAGTGGTGTTGAGTCAAACCTGACCAGCTGCATACGTGAGCAGCAAGGCAGGGATCGGTGCCTGCCTCTCCCACTAGCTGCCTTCTGATCTGGCAAATGAAACCTGCGTGTGCTCTCAAGGTGGTGAAGGGGAGGGGACTCTCCTTTGCATTTCTCTTGCCTCTAGATCAGGTCTAGATCTTGGGTTTCTGATGTAACCTAGGAGCTCACGGACTGGCTGCTGCTTTGGAGAGCAGTGTGTACTGGGATGGCGAGGAGGGACTCAAGGAATAGGCTCGTCTTACCGTGATAGCAGCAAGTTCCCCTTACAAGTTTCACATGCAAACCTAGTATTGGGTCCAGTCCGCCTCTGCCGGGCAAGCCCTTTCCAGAACTTCAGGGAAATGATCTTACAGTGCCCGCACACAGAGACGCTTGAACTCTCCCGGGGAACCTCGGTTGAGCGTGAGGGCCTAGAGAAGTTCCCCAGGGCGAATGGAGAGTAGAGGGCAGCTTAAAGAAACGGGAACAGGAATTCCGGGGAAACTGATCATGGTTTTTCACCCTCTCGGAAAACAGAGAATGCATAGGGGGATGGAGAGGGTTGTGCTGCAGCCCTGGCCTCCCTGTTCACCACGCCTGGATGCACCGTACGTACCCTCTTGCTTCCTAGCTCCTTTCTCTGCCAGGCTACGGGGAAGAAAGAGTGCAGGACAGGAGACCTAGCCCTACACCCTCTCCCAGGCCCGTCAGGACAACAGTATAGAGGTGAAAAAAAGATCGGGTATCAAATTCCCGGCCAAGCCACTTAGTGGCAGCTGAGTGATCTTGGGCAAATCACTCATTCTTCTCTGACAGGCGGCTTTCTTACCTGTAAGGGGATCATGATGGCACCTGACTCATTAGGTCCCAGGAAGTATTAAATAAGATCGCACGTGTTAAACTACAAACGGCGGCTGGCACAGAGTGGGCGCGCGGTTCTTAACACATGTATTTTTAATTCTGTTAACCATCAACCCCCCTATGCGGAAGCTGAGTTGTCCTGTCAGACTGAGCACTACCGTAGCGCAATCTTCCAGACCCGGGGTGCTGGGCGCCAGCATTCTCCCCGCGCCCAGGAGCTCATATTCTCTTCCCGTCACCCCTAGATCTGGCTTGGGGAGGCCACCCTTCTGCATCCTCCCCAGCTATGGCCGGGGGAGGCTCTGAGACCCGGGTGAGGGCGCGGAGCGGGTGCGCGCGGCTGCTCTACCCGGGCAGCATCCGCGGCTCTCCCACCCATTCCCCAGCGCCCAGCGCGCAAAAAAGAGAGAAAGAGAAAAAGGCGCGGATACTGGACCAGGCTTTGACGCGGATCTTGAGCTCGCCGTCCTGAGGCTCCGGCATGGCCTTCCTGGAGAGCCGCAGCTTGTTGAGCCCCCCGAAGCCGGCCAGCACCACCGCGCGCATCTCCTGGGCGTCCCCGAGGCGGTGCGAGCCGTCGCCGCCGCCGCCCTCCGCCGGCTCCTTGCCTGCCTCCTTCTCGATCATTTGCTCGGTCTCCTCCGCCTTCTCCACGCCTTCCTTGGCCATGGCGCTCTAGGGCGCGGGGCGCGCGGGCTGCGGTGGCTGCGGCGCTGGAGGACTGGGGCTCCTCTTCCGCGGGTTCCTCCTGTTGAATGTGGGATGCTCGGCTGTGCAATGGCTGCAGCCTCTGCGAGCGCCGCCGCGGTCCACGGCCTCCGCCGTAATCCTCACAAGAGCCGTGCCCCTAAGCACTCCATCCCGCCCCAGCCCTCTTTCCTGCCCAAATGAAGCCTCAACTCCAGTTCATGAAATAGTCCTGAATTAGACTCAGGATCACGACCCTAAACCCAGATCTACCGAAGATCTCTGACTAAAACGAGCCTAGAGAGGCCACCTTGTCATTCCACCACCCCTAGCCCCAGTACTTGGTTATATACGGCACAGACTCGGGTGCCTTGAAATGGACAGAGATGAATGTCTGGGCCTGGAGGATGCCATCCCGCGACAAGGTTGCCCTCTCTCCCTTCCATCTGCGGGGCTGGGCGGGATAGCCGGGAAATCGGGTGGTTTCTCAAACAGCCAGTTCTGGGTGGAAGGGCGGAGAGGTTTGGAAAGCAGGGAACTAGAGACCCGGCTCACTGCCCTGTAGAGCCCAGTCCGGGGTCTTTTCACTCCAGACCTGCAGGGTCAGCCGGGATGCTCTTTCCTGGGTGTCACCAGGGGCTTATTCTCACCACCCAGACCATTTCGGGCCAGTAAGGAGGTTCCAGACAAGAATCCTGTACCAGAAAGGATTCGTGTTCTGATCCCCAGAAGACCAACAGTGTGTGTGTCCGCTCTCCAACACGCACGCACATGCACAAAGTAGTAACTGGTATTTTGTTTTATGAGGCTCTTAAAAAAAAAGAAAGCTCATAGAAAAACTTGGTTTTTCTGAAATAAAATGACAGTGACGGAGGTGGTTTTCCGAGGGCAGTTTAAGGACAGAGAGGCAGTTGAGGACTAGGTCTATATTCTATTATGGTTGCTATGAGATTGCCAGCCTTGAGAGCTTGAGCAACTCATTCAACCTTCCTGAGCCTCAACAACCTCATCTATAAATTGGGTACATTAATTTTTTTTTCTTTATTGTGTGAAGTGCTGGGATGGATAAAATTTCAGTAAGACATGGTCCTCGTATTGGAAAAGCTCAATTTCAGAGCATGAGACAGGAAAGGCACAGTCAAGAAATGTGACACAATGAATTATCTAAGTGCTGCCTCTTCTCTGCCCACATTCTTCCTGTGCCTCACTGCTTTAAATGCCCTGATCTTCTATTCCTTTAAAAAAAAAAAAAAAAAAAAGAAAAGAAAAAGAGGATTATTTCCCCTCCTTCCACAGGGCTCTGCACCTGCTGTCCCCTTGGTCTGGGGTATATGTTCCATCTCCTTTATCTGGTGTTAACTCCTACTTCATTCTCACCTCTAGGGTCCATTCCTTGTGGAAGGAACTCCAACCTCCAGACTGGTATCCTCTATGACTATAAACGCTCATGTCCCTTCGTAGCTAACATTTATATGTTTATCTGATAGTATCTGTTTCCTTTAACCAACTGTGAACTTCACGTGGGCAGGAGCTAGTTCTACTTTTACCCAGTGTGGTTTTTCCAGGGCTTAGTACATGATTGGTACATAGTAGAATATGCACAGAAACAGCCTGTTGAATCAATGAATGGGTTAGTAAAAGTGGATGTTGTGGGAGCCCAGAGGGAGGAACCAGTAACTGGTCCAGAGAGTTGGAATTCTCATGGAGGAGGGAATATTTGAGCCAGACCTTGAAGGATGAGGTGGGTTATTCTGGCAGAAAAGGTCACAAGCTTGTTCAAATACACAGAAAGGTAACAGGTAAAAGTGCTTCTGAGATGCTGGCTTGCTCTGTGTAGGCAGAGCATTGTATTTAGCAGTCATTGTAGATGAGGCTGAAGGGTTGATTGGGAATAGCCTTTGAAAGTTCTCACATAAGAATTATAAAATTTAAGACATAATCACAGAGGCAATTGGTGCCATTAAGGCTTAAAAAACAAAAACATGGGAAGAGCATTACCAGAACTGCATTTTAGGGTAATAACTTTGACAGTAAGTGGGTGATGGATTAGATGATAGAGTTCCTGGAAGCTTGGAAATCAGTTAAGAGACGAAGTGCAGACCAAAAAACAAACAAACAAACAAAAAAACAGAAAAAAGAAAAAGAGAAAGAAACAAAATAAATGAGAATGGTCCCAACTGAGGCGATGGCTGTGAGATGGAAGGAAGAGGGCTAAAAGAAGCCTGAATAGACAGAACTTGGTTAGTGAATTGAACATTTTATTATGAATGCAATTGTCCAAATTGTTAATTGTGTTTACATTGTGAGATACAGTATTTAGGCTGGATTCTATCCTGAAACAAGAATCTGAACACCAGTGGTTTATTTTGGAGGTAATCTCAGGAAGCTTTGGCTGGGAAGTAGGACAGTGAAACAGGATGTTGATAGTACCCAATATGGGATGTATTAATAAGCATATGACTGCAGTGGGCAATTGGAGCTAAAACCACAGGGGACATTTTAGAGACAGTGTAGAACACATCTCAGAGTTGTCTCAGCCAAGGAGTGAGGACAAAGGTAATTATTCACTAAACTCTATGCTTGATTGGCCACGAACTGTTTCTGGAATTGTTAACTCCTCGACATTTCCATCTGTCTCGCGTACTTGGGCTGAGAGAATCCCCTGGAAGAGAACTGTGGATGTTTTTTGCAGGAAGCTATCATTTTGTGCATAGAATGATGTGTTTCAAGGAGACATAGCTTTGGCACCAATAATATCTGCAATGTATGTTACTGTTTTGGAGGGATCTACTGTTCTAGACACTTTAGGTATATTTCTTAATTGGATTCTGAGAATAATCTTATGAGACAAGAATTTCTATTTCCCTTTTATGGAAGAGGAAAATGAAAATGAGTCTTAACATGATGAATTATTGTGCTCAAAGGAACATGCTAGTTGTAATGAGATAGAAGACAAACTCCAAATCCACGCTCTTAACATCTCACCATGTGTGTTTACATGGAGAGGCCAAACCAGTTCTGCCCCTGATTGACAATACTCCACAGCATTTTTTAATGCTGTCTGCTCTTTTTTTCACTGCCTACTATCTCCAAGGTCCCTTGCCTTGGTTCTGAGTGTTTTCCTTCAGCATTAGTAAAGTAAATCTACTTTGTAGTCAGTACACAACATGTTTAAGAGAAAGTGTTTGTCTTACAGCGTGTTAAAGGGAATATAATTACTCCCTCCAAGGGGATCTTTTGGCTGTTTACAAACCTCCGATTATAATTGGTAGGCAGCTGATTATCACAACCCAGAGGAAACAAACCACGGTCTGTGCTGCTTGTCGGGGGACATACCCTCCTCTGAGTCCTATATACCACTATTGTTAAGTATTCCCAACTCTGGTCCTCCCTGGGGGAACGTAGAAAGAGACACAGTGCATGGCATATCTCCAAATAAACATAGTAAATCAATTTTTAATTTGTAAAATTGATTCTTTGGACATTCACTCAGAGCCTCAGCTTTGAAATTTCTTATGTTATTGTAGAACAATGTCAAATGGTGGCCACTGATGGTAAAACATAGTATTACAGCTCAGCTCTGTTAACTGGCAAATGGCTTGGGGAAGGGTATGTGCACTTGGGTGAGTGTGTCGGGGTGTGGAGGGGGGCGGGCTGTAGAAGACAGGATACAGGAACACCTAATAGAGGTAAAGTCTTTGAGTAAGAAAACATGGGAAGCAATCTTAGTATGATTTTAGAAATGGTTTTCTAAATGATCTGGAATGGTTCAGTAACTTCCTAGAGAAATACGTTATTTGTAGAAGATGGTCCATGTGTCAACTATATCTTTTAATAATATTTGTTGTATTGTTTCCTCTAAAATGCAATTCGAATCATTTGTTGTACATACATTATATTATTTCATCTTTAAAATAATCCTATGCTATAGCACTATTACCCTTATTTTACAGAGGAGAAAACGTAATATAAACTGAATAAATTTCCCAAGACTGCCTACTTAACAAATTGCAGAGTTGAGATTTGAAGTGGGAGCTATTTGACTTCAAAATGCATGTTCTTAACCACTACACTTCGATGTTTATGGCTTTATTTGGTGCTCCACCTTTTACTCACAAAAATGCCATCAATTAGGTCAAGAAAAAGGAGACAAATTTAGGAGGTCAATAATGGAGAGAGGTAGAAGATTCTGGCCAGAGAAATATCCTAACAAAACCCAGGGGCTTATATTAGAGGATGTATGGCATAATTTATTATAGTTTGTGTTTATGCTATTTAAAAAGTAATGAAACATAATCACCAATGAGCACAACACTATTTTTCAGAGAGGTGCTAGAGAAATGTGCAGCCCAACCTGATGGTGGTAGGATAAACTTCCTGACTACCCCTTGTAGGACCAGTCTTACGTGGTTAAACTCTAGTTGTGTCAGAGGGGAAAAAAGTACACTGATATTTACTTATCACCTTTTGAGTGGTGACGTTGTGCTATTGCTAAATGCTGGCGATAACATGGTGAATAAGGTGAATAAGACAAATATATTCTCAGTTTGAATGGGGTTACCAGCCTTGTTGAGGAGATATATATTGGTTTAGATTGGGTTGCGCAGAAGTAAATCTTTCTTAATTTGAAGATTGGCATACAAACAGCTTGAGAAATGATCCCAGAAAGCACTGGAAGAGGTCTGTGAAAGTAAGACAGGGAAGGAAAAGAAGCCAATATAAGGTGTATTACCTAGCAGGTTATCACTGCTATGAGTCAGATTAAACAGTGCTGGGGAGCTCTAGGAGACAGAGCACACCTCAGAGGTATCCCCATCAAGAGGCAAAGACAATGGAGAATCCACCAACTCCTGTTAGTCTTTAGTTGAGGACTGTTGCTGTGGGGCACTAACCACCTGCCACTTCTAGCATGCCTTGCACATGGGCTGGCTGGGAATTGGCTGCCTGACAAAGCTGCCCTGAAAGAGTTGCAGGTATTTGGAAGCCATTGGGTCATTGAACAAGGCAATGGTGGACTCCAAGAGGGTGTAGGTTGGGCACTGACCATCTCTGCTACCTATGTTGAAACAAAAAAATCATGTAAGTAATTAGTCATTTACCAGTTCAATAAGGGCTCTAAAGGAGAA